ACATCTGTGAGGAAATACCTGTGTTTTCATACTTGATGTGAATGTTAGAGCACTTAGCAAAGTGCCTCACTTCAGGCATTGTATCATTCTAATATAGGGATTCCAGTATTGGTTTTTGGCATTCCAGTATGGTGGCACTAAAATACCATTATTTTTGGTGGTGTAAAGCCTGTATGTCGATTCATCCAGCAGTAGATTTAGCCACCCTACTTGAGTGTCCACTTCCTCTTCTTCCCCTTTCCTCCCTCTGACTTGCATCATCCTGAAATCTCTCATCAGTCTTCCTGGCCATTCGTCTACAACTCGCCTGTTCTGGATCCCCGTCTTTCAAGACAAAAGACAAAGCTGATTGTGAGTCTGGCTGGGGTTGCTCTCTGCAGTTGATAAAGAGCTCCACTGGCAAAGGATGGAGATAGATGGCTGGTAGGAAAAAGTAAGAATATTGCAGCCATTGTGCAAGCATAGAAGTGCTGCCAGGAGCTGTGTTCCTAGGAGGAAGGCACTGCAGTCCAGTGAAACTGAAGGACCGGCAGAGAGCCAAGTGGCCAGTAGGACCAGACTGAGGCTCTCCCCAACAGCCTGGTGTTTTAGTTAAAAAAGAAGTTATTTGTCTTAAGATCAAAGTTTAAGGACTCAAAAAATCCATTTAAGGTGAGTTGCTGAAAAAAACTCCTCTACTGGAAATGTGGCATTAGGCTTTTGAGTTGAATGAAGTGTGTTGGTGTAGAAAGGTTTTTGTTTTTGTTTTTCCTATACCTCTATAATCCTCAAGAGGAGAAAAACTGGACAGTAGCCAGTAATCAAGACTTTTGTTATAAGAATAAGTCTCAAGTTGAAAGACTTTTGAAGAAACATATTCTCATCATGATAATACTGAATTTAACACAGGAAACCAGGCCTGAATCTCCATCTGTGCCAATGAAACTGAAATTAGATGAAGACCAAATGGAAATGCTTTCTTGGAAGTAATGGCTAGAGCTCATTGTCAAGAAAAAAAGATTGATGTTTCTGCACAAATACCCTAAAAAAGATCTTGCCAGAGTTATCAAACCAGAGATAACTTGGTTTGAAGATAACTGGTTTGGTTGTTTGAAAATGGAGTCCAAAGAAAGGATTAGAAGTTAGTTTATAATTATCCCATGATTTCCTCCAACTCAAAATGTACTTCTTCAGCCACTGGGAGAAATTGCACATTTAAAAATATAGTTCGAGAATTAGGCTTGAGATGGATTAATGATTGTACATTGAGCATTGACCCCCCTATACTGAATTTTATTGTTGTTAACAACCATTTGATCAATAAATATGAGAAATGCCCTCTCAAAAAAAAATCATTAAAAAAAAATACATTTGCTGGAATTTGAAAAAAATATATATAGTTCAGTTTTGAATGACATAGGAAAGTTGAATGAACTTTAATATTTTTCTTTTAAACATTTTTATATAGCCTTGTTAAAGTAAGACTATTGCAATTTTATCTGCCAATTAATACTAAAGTGATTGTATTTAATATTTATATTTTTATGTGTTTTGTGTCTGACATTTCTAAATGTATTTGAAATATATTAACTATTTGATTTCCTGATTTATATTTTTATGAATTCTTAACAGTTTAAAATAAAATATTATTAATATGCAAAGTGAACACTCTCATTTTGTTCCAGTATTCACTCTTTTAGAGGATGTCTAAATAGTATTTTGGCTGAGACCCAAATAATGAGGGAACTTAGTGAAGCTGTGGGAAGAATGTTCTAGGCAGAGTTTTACATGTGAGAAAGGGCCTTGTGAGTTTGAGCAACTGAGAGAAATTCAGAATAGCTGGTTCAACAGGATGATGGAAAGGCCTAAGTTGAACTGGAGTGATAGGTTTGTGACAGATTGTAAGAGCTTTTAGGAAGCCATGAAAAGTATCTAAGCACCCTGGGGAAACCAGAGAAGGATTTTAAACTTAATAGTGATGGTCAGGTTTATATTTTAGAGGGGTCATCTGGCTGCTGTGTGAATGAATTGGAGAAAAGTAAACCAATTAAAAAAGTTACAAATATCTAGGCAAATGACGCTGCAGGTAAGTCAGTGGCAGTGGGACACAAAACGAGTAGATGGATTTGGGAGGTGCTTGGGAACTAGAACTCGTGGTGACCTGGCGTGAGCAGCTAGGTGCGCGGTGATGGCAGTCGCTGCATCCAGGGCTGCAGGGAGAGCTGTGTAGGCTTGTGTGGAAGGTGATAGGTTCACTCTTGAAGGTGCCCATGGGACAGAGTTCCATCAGGAAGATGTAAAGATTGAGGGCTTAGAGGAGTCTGGAGTGGGCACGTAGACTTTGGAGAATTGCCACCATTGAGATGGCAGTTAACATTCTGAGAGTGGATGAAGTATTCAGGATAGGAAGAGGAAGGGAAACTGAGTAAGAACAGCCGAGTGGTAAAACCACATAGGGAGAGGGTGGTATCAGAGAAGCCAACAGGTGTGTTTTGATCAGCTATGCCAGATGACATGGGGAGTTTGAGCAAGGCAGGGCTGTTGTGGTACCTGGGCCGTGGGAGTCAGTCTGGTAGTTGAAGGGAGAGGAACTTGGTAGATCTTTCACGAAGTTTCTGATGGAAGATAAGACAGGAGATAACCTGAAGGGTGGTAAGGAGTGAAAGGTACCTTTAAAGATGAAGGAGAGGTGAGCCTGATAAATAATGATGGGAATGAGCAAGCAGAGAGGGAGAAGTTGAGAATGAAGAGATAAGGCATCAGAGTCCCTGGGCAGGTAGAATGAGTGGAGGCCAGCGTTTAGGGGGGAGATTGGGTTTTGAATGGTAAAGAAAAGGGAACAAAAGTCTGGGTCCAGGTAAGTTTGTGTACATGGTGGTAGAAGATGGGAATGCTTACTTCTGAGAGGGCTTCTTCAGTGTCTTTGTGATGTAGACAGCATTATCATTTGCGAGATTGAGGAGAAGGTAGGTGAGGGAGGCTGAAGGAGAGCAGAAGGTTTGACATCTCTGCTCTGGAGAAGGGGAGCCAGAGCTGCCCTGGGGCAGTGCGGGGGTGAGTTGAGGTCATTGATGAACTGATAGCAGCTATGTGGCTTCGGGATTTGCCACAGCAGCAGAGCACAGCAAGCTTACCTACTCTCCCTGAGGTTTGGGGGTATGTTTGAGTTCTTCCTTGAGCATTTGGGCTTTAGTTGAGTCCATGAAGTACAAGCAACAGAATGTAATAAATGTGACTCACACTCATTTTTTGTCACATCTGCTGTTGTTGCACTGCGGTATTAAAATATCCTCTCAAGTTATTGAAATGCGTTAGGCCCTTTGCTCCTTCAGTAAGTGGCCCCAGACTGCTGTCTTGTTTTTCTTTAAGTTCTTGTCCGCTTTTTTATACTATTTCTGTCTCCCCCCTTTCTGTTTTCTTCCTTGTTGTCAGTTGTTCTGTCACATTGCTGTCTGCATGCAAGTCTGTATCAGCCCTACACTCTGGACTTTGTCAACATCTGGAATTATCACACCTCTGAAATAAAGCTGTGCTTGAAGACCAGACAACCAAGCTTATTAAAATTGTGTGCAAAGTAAGAGTAAATAACCTCTGAGTGTGATTCTCATGTGCTGTGCTTTGAGGGTGTACATGAGTGTTCGTACATGAATTCTGTGACATTTATTGGAGTGTTTCACAGTTATCCATATGTGAGATGTCTGTTGCCTGTACTCCCATTGTGTTTTCTTGTTTTGAATTTCCATGGATTATGATAATATTGTTAGAGAGCCCTCACTATTTATGATTTTATCTTTTATATCATTCTTTAGTCCTTACAAAGTATTTTTTATGCGTCACCTAAATTTTGAGACTATGTGACTAGATATTTTATGCTGTTATTTCTTCTCATGGATTTTCAAATACTTAGATTTTGTGTGGGAATAACATGTATTTTTAAATATGCATTGTGTATGAGAATAACCTACCATGTCCCACAACTCATTTAGCCATGTCATGGAATGTAAATGTAATAGGACAATGTAAGTATTTTGGAGGTTTGGCAAATATTTTCTCTGCCCTAGATTTTCATATATTCCTGTGTTTTATGGACTTTGTCATCTGTGAACATTTCATGTATATATCAATTTCAGTTTTTTTAAGGATGTATATCACCATTTTTTAATTTTCTATACATTTAATTTTGACCCTGATCTTCCTTCTTGTCAGGAGGAATGTAAATTCAACACCAGTTATGTGGAGACTCTCTCCCTACCCCCACCCCCTAAGGCTGTGCTAAGGTGTGGAGTCCTGGGCAATGCCGGAGCACTGAGGAGAGGCCCCCACGTCATCAGCAGTTACTGGGTCACACTGATTACCTAGGAGAGGCCTGGAATCCCGGCCCACGTGTGCCTCTAGGTTCCATGGCTTTGCCAGGTACCTTTTGGGCTTACTGCATGGGAACCATCGGTGAGGCCCAGAGCCCTGGGTCTAGGCTTCTTCTCCATCTTGCTTAGGCTGCCTGGGAGCAGGGTGCTGCTCAGGGACTCACGGACCTTTCTTCTCTCCAGTGCAGGACACTTTTTTTTTAAAATCTGCAGCAAATCCCTCTCTTCTCACACTCTCTCTTCAAAATAGGTTTAGGGTTTTTTGTATTGTTTTTGTTTTTGTTTTTTTCAAGCAAGTGCTAAGAAGCCTTGACATCAACTTCTCCTTAGGCAAGGAAGCACATCCAGTGTAGCCTCTTTTAATGGTGGAATATAGTGAGAAAACACAAATTTCTTTTTAGAAAACTAGTAAAGTTGCAGAATAACAAAAAACTCAACAGGCTCCTCCTCTGCTTAGACTACCTCCTCTGAAACTAAATGTCTGTAGCTAAGTCTGTGTTTTATAACTCACCAAAGAATATGAATGTTTGTTAAGTGTATGTGTATTTTTTTTTGACATAGAGTAATTTCTGAGGTGAGCTAAATATCAAGCAGAATATAGCATTTTTAAAGCATTATGTGGATGTTCTGATTTTGTTTTGTCTTATTTTACCTAAGAACACTGGAACTATTTTGGAGCTGATGAGAATCTTGGTCCAGTGGCTGTGAGCATTCGAAGAGAAAAATCAGAAGAAATGAAAGAAAATGGCTCTCCATACAACTACCGGATAATTTTTAGAACTAGTGAGGTAAGTTCCAAATGAGAAGGACTTGAGGCTTAATTGACTTGAGAAAAAAGTAGAGCAGTAGCAGGACAGTGAAACTTCATAGCGCATGGCTGTGCGGTCTTTAGAATCAACAAAGGCCCCTTTCATTCATTCTGGTGGTGATGGGGTCCACATAATGGCTAAATCTGGATCCTTTCTTTCCATCTAGCCCTGGGTAGATGCAATAAATGAATGGGAGTTTTGATTCAAGAGAAAGATTTGTCCATTAAGTGTGGCCCAAGGGAATTGGAGGCCTCAGAATCCCAAATTGGTTATTGCGTATCCCGGCCAGGCAGCCGGAAAGCACCCAGCCAGCCCAAGGACCAGGGTACTTACAGATGAGAGCAGGTCCCCCAAGACTTCACTCTCTCTTTCCAGCTATTGTTTAGGACAGTTCTTGATGCAAGAAGAGGGAAAGAGACTTTTATTCTTCCACTTTCACTGTGCTATCTCATGGACCTATTCTTCAGACCTACTGGAGGCCTGAACCACAGACCCTATGAACCAGTTGTGGGTGAAACAAACTCTTGGAGCGCTTGAGGAATCTAAGTACATGTAATATATGAGTTTTTATTGTAAAAGGAAATTCAGGTCAAAAAAGAAAAGGGAAAATAGCTAACAAAGCTTTTTAAAAAGAAAAATTAATGAGGAAGTTTGGGACTATGAGGTTTCATTGTTTTTTTTCTAAACATACGTGTAGTTGTGCCAGTTACCAATTTACTGCCTCTCTGTGCCTAATGCACTTTAGGATTGTTGTTATGCATTAATGTCAAACACCCCCAATCCCCAGAGGGATCTAGAATATAGTGGTTCTGAAACTGGTTTAAATAGGGCATTTAGCTTCATTTCCCCCATTGAATACAAGACAGGCTCCAGGCTTTGGTTTCACCTAGTAATTTTTCCTCAGCTTGAACTCTGGGGAAATTAAAAATAGGATTTTTAAAGGCACAACTTTAATGTGTGATGTGTTGCTTATAGTAGCCAGAGAAAATGGTGAGCTGACGTGCCATGTCCACCGCTAGGCAGTGTGAGTTCTTTTGTTGAACGTGGGAAGTGCAGAGAACACACTGTATGTTTTTGTCCTGTGCTTCTTCATTTCCCCTCCCAAGGCCACTCTGGTCATCAGTTTCTTCCTTTTCCATGTTTTTTATCCACTTAAATTCCTCATCTTGCCGCTATCCTATCATCCTTCCTGCTGAGGCTGAAGTTTGCTGAGTCAGCGCCTTCTCTCTGGGATCCTGCCTCTGCTTTCCACGACTGTCCTGTCCTGCTTGCCTTTCAGGCACTCCACATCTGTCCCAGCTTTTCTCCACCATTACCTGCTGTCCAGAACTAATGGGATGCCTGTGCTGTGGTCGGCGAACCGCCCTGACGCTTGCCTCTCCCATCTCTCTCCTTCCCTTCTCGCTGCCTGAGCCACATGGTTCCACCTCCCCCTGCTTCTCTGGTCTTGCCTGCAGTTCAGGCCTTTTCCTGCTCACTCCTTCCACAGTCCCTTGGGTGCATTTCCTTAGCCTTTGATTGAAACATCCAAATCAAATGTTGCTTATGGTTCAAAACACCATTACCACTTGTTTCTCTTTTCAAATTAATGGTCAGCTGATGACAACTCTATTATTGCAGTTGTCCAGTGCTGCAGCTTTGAAGTCACAATAAATGCTCTCTTCTCCTCCTCCTACCCCCCATATCTGGTCTTGTCAGCAAAATTTGCCGACTTTGTCTTTAAAATATGTCTGCAATTCAGCCACTCCTCCCAGCCCAGTGCCTGGGCCAGGCCACAACCGTCTTTCATGAGAACTGTTCTTGCTTCTGCCCTGAGCCCTGCATCCTCTCAGCCCAGGAGGGATGCTTTGATATGTGATCCAGATCTCCTCATTCTTCATTTCAAAATCCTCTAAAGGTTTCCTATCTCCTTTGGAGGAAAAGCCAGTAAAAGCCTAGGAGACCATGCACATCTGCTTGCGGCCTCTCCCCGGTGACTCCCCTCACTGGGTCTTTCCCGGCTGTGCTGACCGCCTCCCCTCTGGGCCACTGCGGATGCCTGTGCCTCTGCCGGGACACTCCCTACTTGTCTGTGGTGCTCAGTCCTTCCCCTGCTATCCTCTTGGCTGGAGTGCACTCATTTCCTTGTGACCTGTTTTCATAAATCACAGGGGCCTTCCTTGGCCACTGGGTCTAAAATTTCTACTCCCTCATATCCCTACTTCGTGTCCAAATCTAGGCTTTATTTTTTCGTGAACACTTACCACTATCTCACATACTGTACTTACTTTGTTCTTTTTCTTGTCTCCCCCACTAGACTGTATGCCCTGTGAGGATCGGGACTTGTCTGAGTTGTTCATGACTACGTGCCTAATGCCTAAAATTGCACTTTCCCCTCCGTCTCCTTCTTCCCATCCTTCTGTCTTTCTTCTCTCTAACATTTATTCAATTGCCACTCGCTTTTGTGTAACTTTTTCTTTCCAATAAAATAATCCCTAAATGAGGTTAAATTGTAATGGCTTTATGAGGCTTTTCATAAAAATAAGTTAACAAAAGTCCTTTGATAGAAATATCTCTTGATGTTGGTCCCATAGCTCCTGTACTTTGTGGATAAGCACTTTGCTCTTTCCATTGAAGTTGGTTCACTAAATTCATAATAAAGTGTGACTTAACTTTTATGCCTTCATAGAGACTTCTCATGCTATTAATCTTTCAGGTTAATAAATACATTGCGAGAAAGAGAAAATGTGGTAACCACAGTGACACTCCAGCTGCTTCAGTAAATGGCATCAAGATAACAGAAATGCAGATCTCTTTCATTTCAATAGAAATAATCATTGCACAACATAAACAAAAAAAGACCTTACGTATTCATAAGGATGACAGTTTGTTTATGAACAAGATCCTATGGCACACGAATGCTTTTAAGCAGAGGTGCTCAGGGATTTATGAGGATTCCCTTCCTGTTTCTGGAAGTCATTAACAAAAATATCAGTAATACTAGCGACTCAGACATAGAGATGAATTGCTCTTTTTCTCGTCTGCTTTGGCTTTCTTGAGGTGAGTTGCTATCTTGCTGCAATGCAGGATTAGCAATGGTTAGCCTTCCTGGTCTTGGTTTCTCAGATGACGATAGTCCAGCCTTTGTAGCCTTCTTCCAGGCAGCACTGTCTCATGGAAGAAGAGCGTTAACTGAGCTGTTCAGTGGTTTCCCATGGTTTAAAAAAAGGAAACAAAATAGAAAATAGAAACTATGTCTGTCAAATTAGATATGAAGTCATAGGGAATGATTTTTCCCTAAGTATTATTTGAAAATAACATATTAAGAAGAGATATTAATCGAATGAATAGACTGCAAATAACCTCAATGCCTTTGTCCCATATGAGAGTGAAATGCTGTTAAATTTTGCTTTTCCTACCCTCACCTTTCTCCTCTATCAGTTGGCAGATGTAGATCTTACTTCCCTGGTGATTCTTCCTCTGGTTTCCATTTTCCCTGCTAATCCTCTATCCTGCCCTCACTGCCTGTTACTTGGAGATGTTACATTTTCCTTCTAACCGTATTCTCTGCCTGTAGCTTCTTCCTCTTGCAGTTCATCTCATTTGCCAACTTAATTTTCCTGAAGTATATATCATCCTCCCCATTGAATCAAGGTCTGAGGTTCCCCAGTGAGGTGCACCTGCTCACCCGCCTGCTCTGGGGCTCTCCCCACCTCAGCTTCCCCACCCACTCCTCCCTGGCCCCTCTTTGGAGGCAGCTAAGCTACAGCAGTTGCTCTTTCCCACCCACACCCTTTTCTTTTCTATCTCCATACCTTTGCTCTCTGACACTTTTTTCTAGAATTTTCCCTAGATTTCACGGTCCCTTTTTAGCACCACCTATTCCATGAGGGCCTTTCCTTATGCCCTGAGTCACAAGGATCCATTTTCTGCCTTTGGACTCTCTTAGGACCTGAACTTGTTACACTTTTCTTAGTAACAGTTGGTCTTTGAATAACACAGGTTGAACTGTGCAGGTCCAGTTACATGTGGAATTTTTGATAAATATGTTGGAAACTTTTTTGGAGATGTGCAACAATCTGAAAAAATCTCACAGACAAGCTGTTTAGCCTAGAAATAGTAAGAAAATTTAAAAGTTAGGAATGTAAATACTGTATGTAGTATCCACATATAAAATACCAGTATATATAGATAGAAACATAGTACATATGTAGATGCTAGTGTATTTGATCATTTGCTACCATAAAATCAACAGTAGGTTCTTTAAGTATTTGGGGAGTCAAAAGTTATACATGGAATTTTGACTATGTGGCGAGAGGTGGGCGTCCCTGACTCCTGTGTTGTTCAGGGGTCACCTGTATATACCTCTGAATTGCAGTTCTTTCTTACCTCTCACCCTCTTGCACTCTGTAGCCATCCCTCAGCATGCACTCCTCTCTGTTAGCTCTGTGCCTCCTCTTGCAGGGCAGTGCCTTGTAACCTACAGGCTTAACGAGAGTTTGCTCAGGCGTAATGGGTTTTTTCCCTCATGTCACCATCCAGTGTTTATATTAACAGCTTTGCTATGTGAAAATTTTAGGAAATTAAAATTACTTTAGGCTTCATATTTCCTCTGACATCCACCATCACACAGGGAAATGTCTTTGCTTCTGTTTACATTTTATACTAATAGAAAGTGTTCCAAGAAATAGGGGAAAATCTAAGGTAATTTCAAGTGTTGTTGACTGAGCTCTGTAGTAACTGATCATTGTCTTATTGTAGCAGCATTTCTGGATATGGATGGTTGATGCTTGTGAGCCGTACATTATGTAATCTAAAACTTTTCCTTCCCCTTTTATGGTTCAAAAAGGTGTAACGTCTAATTCTGAGCATTTATTCTTCAGCTATTTTTATGGGACAGCTCCTCCTCAATTTCCTGCTAATGTAGTTACTGTCATTTTATAGCCATGCAGAACTTTGATCTTACTGAGCTTTTTAACGAAATGCTGTATTTGACCTTTCCGTACATGTCCTTAGAGCTCTCCACCGTGAGTTCCCTCGGACTTGCCTGGACCTTCCTGAAAGTGTTGGCACCTCTGTGCCTGTGCAGAGCATCTTGTATCATATCCCTCGTCCTTTCTCCTTCACTGGCTTAACTGACCAAAAGTCTTTCTGGCTCTCTGAGGGGACTGCAGTCCAAGCTTTGAGCACTTCTGATTTATTTCCTTAACCCACTTGCCCAGAGAGGCCTCACAGGAGCATCGTTTGTCTTTCAGCTTATGACACTGAGAGGTTCGGTCCTGGAGGATGCCATTCCTTCAACAGCAAAGCACTCAAGCGCCAGAGGGCTGCCCCTGAAGGAAGTGCTGGAGCACGTGGTGCCCGAGCTCAGTGTGCAGTGCCTGCGGCTGGCCTTCAACACGCCCAAAGTAACGGAGCAGCTCATGAAACTGGATGAACAAGGGGTAAGTTCGGCTTCCAGAGAGGAGAATGCTTGCTGCAGAGGCTTCCTGCTAGGCTTCCAGAGTACAGACCTTCATACTTCTCTTTTGACAGGGAAAGCTGATGCTTTTATTGTGAAGGATATTCTCTTTGCAATCCCTCGTTTTCTTTTTCTTTGTACTCTGAACTTTGCTCATCTGATGAAATTCTCTGTCAGAATTGATAGGTTTGGTACTTAAACTATATTAAACTCTTGGTAACCCTCCATAAATGCAGTGAATTTTTCAAGTACACTGGGCATAAGCCATAGCAATACAGCAATAATAATAGCTAACACTAATGAACAGTCATCTGGCTCTGCCTTTAATATGTTATCCTTTTGTATCTCCCAACTCTGTGAGAACGCTACCATTATTATCTCCATTTTAGATGTGAGAAGTCTGAGGCACACAGAGATTAAGTAGGAAGTTCAAGTTCACACCATTAATAAGTTCAAAGCCTGCATTGTTAGCAGCCATAACACACTGTTCCTACAAGCTTAAAGTCTGTTAGTACCAGCGATGATGTATGTTAGCCAAGATTTCTAAATACAAAATGTGAAGAATTTGGATCCTAATTAGTAACAATAAAAATGCTCAAGATTTTCTCACCGCCATTCCTGCTGTACCTTCGTGTCCAGACCACTTGGTCACAGTACGCATGAGTGGTAGGATAATCCGTAGAGAAGTAGCAGAAGGGTAGAGGATGAAAAGCCATGATCTGGAAAATCCACTAACCGGAGAGTAGATCCGCATTTTACCTGAAATAATTTGAGCATCTGGGCTAATTTTGTTAGATGTTACATTTATTAGCTCTTTCTTTGAACATTTCAGCCATATTGCAGCCTGGCAATGAGTGATAGCAGCTTGACCATTGCCTTTTAAAAAAAATTTCTCCAAAAGTAAAATTGGTCAAGTTATTGAATGGCATTTTCTGAACAAATTTTTATGGTATTTCCTTAATCAAAAATTGCAGTTTTATTAAATTGAATGGGAGTTCCAAAAAATTAGTTTCAAGGTATACTTACTTTTAATTTAGCTAATAGGAATATATTATGAACGAATAGTTGTTTATAACTTTTCTAATCCTTGCTCTCTCTGACAAATCATTCCATTTGTCATAAAGCCCAGCTAATGTCTATCCTGTACATAATATTTCAAGTAGGCTGTAAGTATCATGTTTATGACATGTAACTATGAAGCACTTTGAATGCTTCAGAAGACCACTGATAGGTAAACCTAACTATTTTAGGGGCTGCTTTCCAGTAAATATTTTGAACATTTAGTTTAACCAAGGAAGAATAGAGAAATGATGATTAGGTGTAATTTTATGGATTCAATCTTTTCAGTTACTTTGTTTTTAAAGTAGATGAACAATATTTAGACATTGGTAATATAATCATATACTGAACATTCTAAATTCTACATTAGAACAGATTACTTTATATGAAGGAGAAATTTATTGCCAATTTCCCCTTATTTTACCTATATTAAGTAAAACTGCCCCCCCACCCCCCAACTGCAGACATTTTGTGGAATCTAGCATATTTTGTGTCCTCTCTCAGTGCCCGCAAAATGTTGGGCCACGGAGGGTGCTGATCTGTAAAGAATACTTCATGGTCTAATCAATACAGGAAAGATAAGAACATGATAATGAGTTGAACTTAAAGCTAAATTTATTTAATTCAGAATGTTTACTATTTTGAAATTACGAGCTTACTCCTGGAAGGGGATTAAAAAATCCTTTCCCTCATAAATTATTGATGATAATATGCATTAGTTGTTTTCCTTAAAGCCTTCCTTGGCGAAATTAAAATTTGGCAATCTAGGTGAATGCCCCCAGTTTTATTCTGGCAGTTTCACTAGGCAATAGAATCTAAAAGTTAAAAACCTGCTAGTCTGTGTAAGCAGGCTGTGTCTTTTTATTTATGTCTCCATAGCATTCAAAGCCAGGATTATACTGATAAAAAGCAGAAGACATGTACTTAGGTATTTAGTCTGAGGAGTCATTTTATTTAGGATAGGAAATCTCATTAATGCCTTGGAATCAGTTTGAGAAACTGATTAGTTTGGTGCCCTGACAAAAACAGATTTTAAAAAAGAAATGCTTCTCAGTGCAGTAGCTTATGTATTTGAATCATTGCAAAGCATTTTTAGTTTCCATCCATGTCCTCATATTTTAAAATATCATGCTGTGTAAATCTTTATATTTAAAGGGACTCATAGTATGATACCAGGAAACTGGACTCACTAGAAAGAACTTCTAAATTTCCCTTTAAATTCTATTTAAATGATTCCTTTATTATCTTTTTACTTTAAATGGCTTACATAATTATGCTTAGAAAAAGAAAACATTGCTTGCTTGCTAGATTGTAGCAGTTTGCCTTTCAGCTCTTTGGTGCTTTATGTTTTCAGTTTATCACTTTTAAAAGCTGAAATGAACAGAAGAACAAATTAAAATTATATCTATAAAATATAAAAGCATTACATAAAAAATGTAAGTTTTTTTTTTCATTTGGCTGGATTCTGATATGTATGTGGGAACTAGAGTAGGCATTTTAATTCCTAAAGTTTTAGAAAATAGATATATGCTTTGTGGCTTATCCAAGCTCTCACTTTTTCTTTCCTGATACCATTTTGAGCCTTTCACTATTTATTGCTGCCCATTTCAGTTATCATACAAAGAGCAATAAGAAGATGAAGCTAATCTGCCAGTATTTCACACTGTCAAGAATTTAGAACAGTTTTTGACTCAGAAAATTCAGATCAACTCTAGGTTAGTTTATTCATCATAGTCCTAGATTTTCATCTATCAGGTAATTGTGAGCCTCTCTTATGATAAAAGACATTAGATAAATATGTGTGTTTGCTTATTTATTACACCGTGTAAGCACTACTAGCATCATCTGATTTAATCCTCATGGCACCCTGTTCAATAGGTTCTGTTTTAATTATTGGCCTATTTTACATTTCAGAGGATGGAGACTTGAGGAGTTTTCCTCACCATTTTCCCTTAGTAAGTTGTGAGCACTGGATACAAATGTAGAAGCAACCTTTTGTTTTTAAGTTTTGCAAGTTTTGTCTACTTTTGCATATCTTGAAATTATATTTTGATCCTCAAAACTGTGCTATGAAATGTCAGGAATTTCATTATTCAGGTCAACTTTTTAATAATATGACTAACTCAGTTACTTTTAAATTTGGCATATCAGAGACATTTTTCTTAATCAGTCATTTAAAAAATGCCCTTATCTACTCTTTGCAAGGGAAATGAAAGGTCATCATGTCTGGCCCTGTTTGAAGGAGTTCACTTGTGTAAAGCACTTAGTACAATGCGAGGCATGTGATGAACACTGGGAATATTAGCTGTCGTTGATAATGGTAAAATAGTAACTTGTTAGTAGCCCTTTACGTGCATTATCTCATTTAATCTTTATAAGCATCCTATGAAAGAGCTGCTATTATAGGTAGTATATATTATGCTTACCTCCATAAGTAAGCATAACAAAACCAATAACTACTTATTGCATAACCACATGCTGCAAATTCCTAAATACTATGGAGAATATATAGACTAGTAAGACAGTGTCCTTATCTCTGAAGGAGACGAGGTCATAATGTAATATAATGAAAGTCAGATTTAATATAGTGAGTACATTAGAGAATTGCAAACAAAGAGCAGTGGAGGAGCAAGCCAGTGGGGCCAAGTCACGGTGGTTTGGATGGATCAAGATGCGGTGGGCCTTGGAACAGAGGAGGATTTCATCAGGCTGGGGAATAAGCAGGATTGTGGTCTATCCTGAGAAAACTTAAGAACAAAGCACAGAGAGACAGAAGTGCAAGGTGAGCTTATGGGGCAGTGAGCAGTCCAGCTGAGCAGGATTGTGAAGCACATGTAAGAGAGTAATAAAAATAGGTATTTTTTATTCAGCAGTGATTTAGGCACTGTGAGAAGCAATTTACATGAATAATTTTAATTAATCCTCAGAATCCTTTGTTGTAGGTGCTATTATTGTTCTTGTTTTATAAACAAGGCACTGAGGCACAAAGAGGCTGAAAGACCTCCCCAGATCACAATTAGAATCTGGTGAATCCAGGCATTCAGGCTCCAGAGCCCCCCACATATTCTTACCCAATGCACTTAACATCCTGGCCTCCTTTTCCTGCCCCTTGTGGGAGAGAAAAAACTGAAAGGATGGCTTCAGGCTTTATTGCTGTAGGCTTCAGCACACAGTATTAGGTATAACATGGAAAAACCGAAATAAAATTGGGTAGAGCTTAAAAATACCTAAGTACAATTGCCAGTTGGCAGTAGAAAAAATTGGTAAACCTGTTTTCATTAGAAATGTCAAGTTTCATGTACACAGTAGTGGTTTTACCTAAATGAGTATCTCTACTGTTTTTTCTAGGTACTTATTAAAAAGGCAAAGAAATGAAAATATTTATTAGATTCTCTTCCCTTTAAAAAGTTACCCTTCAAATTATTGAAGTTAACAGGGACTACTGATCATATCTAATTAGGTCTGTAATATATATCTCAAAAATAGATGCACTGAAAGAAGCAATTTTTATTTGATAACAAATAGCACCAATCCATTTAAGGACATGGATGAAATTCTTTGCTGACTTAACCTATTCATTCCCATGCTGCATTATTTTATTGAGAATAATGAGTTTGAGAAGCTGCTTTCTTCTTTGAATCAGGGTGCTAGATTTAAAGAATGAACCTTAGGGGAAACATTTTTTCCAAAGTCCATTTTCTATGAATAAAGCTTTGGCAGAGTAATTACCATTCCTGAAATTTTATCCTTCCTAGATTATGATAATAGCTAGTGCATGTTTAAATTCAGATGGCCACCAAATTGGTTTCAGACAACTCATAGATTCGTATATACATTATCAAGAAAGAAATATGCATGAAAGTGATCAGGTCAGGGAAAGAAGGCAGTGGCATTTGTAACTTTGTCTTGTCTGTTCATGAGTAA